TATATATCTTATGTAGAGCTTAATTTTGCAATCAAACTGATTTTGATATTTACAGTTCTGTCTACCCCAATACCCAGATTCATTTGATTTCGATATCGTTTTTGTTTTTCCCCGCATAAATAGCAATCTACGGCCCTTAACTCGTATTTCGTTTTAAATTTTCAAAAGAATTCTAAAAACATATATTTAGGAAAATCACCTCGGAACAACCTGAAAGCGTAACATTGGTTTGCAGCTACACTAAAATTTTAAAGTGTTTTGACATGATAATTATCATTTCTTTTAAAGATAAAAACAAAATATATTTTTGATTTCTTTAGTTGAAGCGCAACCAGGTAAGTTATTTAAACTATTTTTTTAACTATTAGACTTTAATATCGATTTAATAGGAGGCATTATTTTAAAAAGCGGAGGAAGATAATATATAGGAAATAGAATTATCAATAACAATATTTTTTTTGTCCCTGAATGCAACCAATTTCTAACCACTTTTACACCTGACTTAATACAATTAATAACAATATGCTTACATGCATAAAATATTCATGGTTATTGAATTTTAGCGTCAGTGCAGTCATTATGTTACTGAAGTTTTTTTAGATAATTAAAATTCTTTTAAACAATAACGCAAAAACTATTGGGTGCAAAGGACGGAAATTTTTTTCAATCACAGCAATATTACATATCTTAGCGTACTTATTTTTTAAAGACAAATATATATAGCTTCTATGGTCTTTTAGTTGCAGCGCATAAAGAAAAGCAATTAACACTTTCTCACAAAACTTCTGTTCTAAAATAGGGTACATAACAAATATAAAATAAATAAGATTAGGAATGATAATATATAGAGCATTGATTTTTGTATTTTTGAAGAGATCTGATGTAGAGATTATTTTTTCAAACTTTTAAGTAAATGGGATAAAAAGAATTATAGATATCGCATTAAAAAATTGATGAAATCATAAGAAAACACATTTTTTCTAACCAGACAGGCCATGCTATGACAACCTATGAGTAAATATTTTTTTTCTTCAAAAATTCAAAATTTCAACTGTTTTTAAGATATCAATGAGATTTAAATAAATTTGAAGATACATATAAGAAATACATATTATTTTTTTATTCAAACGTTTTGAGTTTGATGATTTTGTCACAGTTGGCCTAAAAAGGTAGAGAATACCTTAATGGTTTAAGGAGTACGAAGTTTAACGAGTTAACTTAAAGTATGCGCTGATTTCTTGAAATGCTGGCTGCATATTTAAGAGCTACAAGGATTCAAAACATTAGAATTGCATCCTAGAACGTGACATTCCGATCATAAGATTAAAGGTTATTTTTCGGATTCTATTTTTCGTTTGAGTACTTTATATAGCACTGAAAATTTTATTTAGCTCTGAAAATCTAGTGAAAAAAATACTTTTAAATATTGTGTGCTGCCAATCATGCTTTACTAGCGTTGCATCCTTTATAAATCTTTGACTTAAACGAAGACCACTGAAATTTTATTTAGTAGTAAATATGCAATATTAAACTTCCACAAATACATTTTATTATCTAATTTTAAAATATATCAATGAAATGAAATCTTTATACTGTTCTCTATCATAACATATAATCGAGATAATATACCGATCAATTTATTAAAATACCCAATTAATCTTTACAACATAACATATTATTTCTTCTGATATTTACATTTTATTTATATGTATAAAACAAGATATTTGTGAGTGACGCGCATTAAAAAAAATATGGAGCAGAGCCTATAAAAATTGAGATAAAACATACATTCTTTTTCTAGCAATGAATATATCCAAAATCTAACGCTAGATGGCGCATCATTGCGTTATTGAGATCATAAGAAGAATCTATAAAATTTAACTATCTCATGCTCACAAACTATGCTTGATACAATATTATTTGCCACTGTCTGTTTCCATAAAATAGCAAGTAAGCAGTGTGTGCTTTGGAATGTTATGTACATGGCGTTTTATACTGCCGTGCAATGAGAAAATTCAAAATTGAGATTTTTTTAATATTTGGCATCTCTGTATGATAAACTGCATACTGTGCAAAACATTTTTTTTCAAAAGTAAATTTTGTTTTATCAGTTTTCTGAAATTCTATTTTATTGTTCATAGCATAAGTAATAGAAAGAAAAAAGTTGTCAAACCACATGTCTCAGAATCTATCGTGAAACATTTACATTGTTTTTTCATTTGTTCTCAGTATAGCCAGAGATAGATATGATGGGGTCAGGTTAGCCATATTTATTTAAGCATGGGGAATTTGAATGCAAAGCTGTAGAGAAATGGGCCAACTAGTGGCGAACTTCGGATGTTTTATAAATTCGTTTAATTTTGCTATGGTACTATTCAATTTTTACGAAGTTCTGCTTGCAAGGTTTTCAAAATATACTGCTCGTAATTACCTCGTCTAATTACGAACTAATTGTATAGTTATTTTAATATATCGAAATAATATCTTTTTACCTGTGATTTCCAAGAAAGGATCAAATTTGGGGTTGTGTGTTTGCCTTGTTTTTTCTCCAAGAATTAGGTTTTAAAGTTATTTAGATTTTAAATAAAAAAAAGAGACTGATTTTAGCATACGTTTTTATGTATAAGGGTACATTGTAAAACAAATACATTTTATTGAAGTTGGTAATACGAAGCTTTAAAAATATCTGTAACCTTTAAAGTGTTATATCAGAAACTAAGCGTTAAGCTTCATGTTTATTATAGTAAAAATTTGGTTTGGAAGCAAACATTATGATATTTTAAATTTATTACCATGATCCTTCAATAAGTTCCTAATAGTTTCTTAGTAATTTTACAAATCAGAAGCGTCATGGACATTTAAAAAAATCATAAATATGATCATAGCCATAGCTTTCAGAAGTTGTAATAGACATTTTTCACAAAATTTGGAGTAATTTTTTAAAAATTATCATTTTACGAAATATTCATTTAGATATAAATGTGATTTATTTATTAACTGACAAATATGGAATAAAAATGACTTATTGAAACAGGGTAATTGATATAAAAATGTTATAATTTGTGTATATTTCTTTAAAAAAATTTATCACAAATTCGTTATTTTTTCATCAAAACCTTTATAATCATAACCAAACACATAACTAACATTTGAAATTGTAGATATATTGCCATTTCCTTTATTGTTGGATTTAGGTTATCGCAATTCTGCATCGCAAACTTGCTCCACCATCTCCTAAATCACTTACCGACTTACTCCTGCTACATCACAGTGTTTTGTATCAGTGTCCGACATGACGCTATTACTAAACGCTTAGAAAAAATACTACCATAACTAACATTTGAAGTTGTAGATATATTGTTATTTCCTTTCTTGTTGGGATTAGGTAACAACAATTCTGCCTCGCAAACTTGCTCCACCATCTCCTAAATCACTTACCGACCTACTCCTGCTACATCACAGTGTTTTATATCAGTGCCCGACATGACGCTATTACTGAACGCTTAGAAAAAATACTACCATAACTAACATTTGAAGTTGTAGATATATTGTTATTTCCTTTCTTGTTTGAATTAGGTAATAGCAATTCTGTCTCGCAAACCTGCTCCACCATCCGCCTCTCGTCACCTCCCATTCTACTCCTGCTCCATCAAAGTTTTTTTTAACAACGTCCGACATCACGCTATTACTAAAAGTTTAGAAAAAATACTACCATAACTAACATTTGAAGTTGTAGATATATTGTTATTTCCTATCTTGTTCGAATTAGGTTACAGCAATTCTGCCTCGCAAACTTGCTCCACCATCCACCTCCCGTCACCTCCCATCCTACCCTTGCTCTATCACGGTTTTTTTAACAGCGTCTGACATGACGCTATTACCGAAAGCTTAGAAAAAATACTACCATAACTAACCTTTGAAGTTTTAGACATATTATTATTTCCTTTCTTGTTGGAATTGGGTAATAGCAATTCTGCCACGCAAACTTGCTCCACNTTTGAAGTTGTAGATATATTGTTATTTCCTTTCTTGTTGGGATTAGGTAATAGCAATTCTGCCTCGCAAACTTGCTCCACCATCCACCTCCCGTCACCCCCCAACCTACTCCTGCTCCATCACAGTGTTTTGTAACAGTGTCCGACCTGACGCTATTACTAAACGCTTAGAAAAAAAAAATTCCATAACTAACATTTGAAGCTGTAGATATATTGCTATTTCCTTTCTTGTTTTAATTAGGTTACAGCAATTCTGCCTCGCAAACTTGCTCCACCATCTCCTAAATCACTTACCGACCTACTCCTGCTACATCACAGTGTTTTATATCAGTGTCCGACATGACGCTATTACTAAACGTTTAGAAAAAATACTACCATAACTAATATTTGAAGTTGTAGATATATTGTTATTTCCTTTCTTGTTGGAATTAGGTAACAGCAATTCTGCCTCGCAAACTTGCTCCACCATCCGCCTCTCGTCACCTCCCATCCTACTCCTTCTCCATCACAGTGTTTGGCATGACGCTATTACTGAAAGTTTAGAAAAAATACTACCATAACTAACATTTGAAGTTATAGATATATTGTTATTTCCTATCTTGTTGGAAATAGGTTTCAGAAATTCTGACTCGCAAACTTGCTCCACCATCCACCTCCCGTCACCTCCCATCCTACTCCTGCTCCATCAAAGTTTTTTTTAACAGTGTTCGACATGACGCTATTACTAAAAGTTTAGAAAAAATACTACCATGACTAACATTTGAAGTTGTAGATATATTGTTATTTCCTTTCTTGTTGGAATTAGGTAATAGCAATTCTGCCTCGCAAATTTGCTTCATCATCTACCTCCCGTCACCTCCCATCCTACTCCTTCTCCATCACTGTGCTTTGTAACATCGTCCGACATGACGCTATCACCGAAAGCTTAGAAAAAATACTACCATAACTAACCATTGAAGTTTTAGACATATTATTATTTCCTTTCTTGTTGGAATTAGGTAATAGCAATTCTGCCTCGCTAACTTGCTCCATCTTCCACCTCCCGTCACCTCCCATCCTACTCCGCTCCATCACGGGTTTTTTTAACAGCGTCTGACATGACGATATTACCGAAAGCTTAGAGAAAATACTACCATAACTAACCTTTGAAGTTTTAGACATATTATTATTTCCTTTCTTGTTGGAATTGGGTAATAGCAATTCTGCCACGCAAACTTGCTCCACCATCCACCTCCCGTCACCTCCCATCCTACTCCTGCTCCATCAGGATTTTTTTTAACAGCGTCCAACAGGACGCTATTACTAAAAGTTTAGAAAAAATACTACCATAACTAACTTTTGAAGTTGTAGATATACTGTTATTTCCTTTCTTGTTTGAATTAGGTAACAGAAATTCTGCCTCGCAAACTTACTCCACCATCCACCTCCCGTCACCTCCCATCCTACTCCTGGTCCATCATGACTTTTTGTAACAACGTCCGACATGACACTATTACTAAAAGTGTAGAAAAAATACTACCATAACTAATCTTTGAAGTTGTAGATATATTTTGTTTTTTCCTTTCTTGTTTGAATTAGGTAATAGCAATTCTGTCTCGCAAACTTGCTCCACCATCCACCTCCCGTCACCTCCCATTCTACTCCTGCTCCATCATGGTTTTTTGTAACAGCGTCCAACAGGACGCTATTACTTAAAGTTTAGAAAAAATACTACCATAACTAACCTTTGAAGTTGTAGATATATTATTATTTCCTTTCTTGTTTGAATTAGGTAATAGCAATTCTGTCTCGCAAACTTACTCCACCATCCACCTCCCGTCACCTCCCATCCTACTCCTGCTCCATGACAGTTTTTTGTAACAGCGTTCGACATGACTCTATTACTAAAAGTTTTAAAAAAGAATGGATTAAAAAGTGTTATTCCCTCTTATCTGATAGGCTGCCCCAAATTTTTCATTATTTCAACTTGATTGTCTTGCATTTTTTTTGTCATTTTGTGTTTTAACCGTGAATCGAAATTTAGTATATTCATTTTTGTGCCAATATCTGTGCTTTATTCACGTTGTTCAGTTCCATTCGTATTATTTTGTAATTTATAATTAATATATTTTTCTTTCGATAGATGGTTTAGGAAACATTCTTCCCGTAGGCAAGCGTGAGTACTTTTATCTATATAAAAATTGTACCGTCAAAGGACCATAAACAATTTAACTTAGAATTAAATGGTACACAGACGGTCTTACGTTTGCCTAATCTAACGATTAAATATTTAACATCATATATTGTCATTGAGATGTGGTCAATTGTGGTCTAAATAGTGGTCAATTAGTAGTCTAAATACTACATTTATTTTAAAATATTTAGTTGATTTTTTACTTTTAAAATAGATACTTTGTAAACATTATAGATAAATATCTATGTTTCTCTAAAATTTATTATAATCCTTTTAGATGTAACCTAGCGGTATTTGTTAGGACCATCAGAAATATATATTATTCACTTTATGATTATGGCACATGATTTTAGTTTATATAGCATTTATGAAAAATGAAATAAGAATATAAATTTTTATTGAATATAAATTTTTACCAAAGTTGTAGTTTTTAACGAAGAAAGCTCTTACTTGATTGGTTGCTCGCCCAGCTGACCTAACGCTAGCGTTACTAAAGTTTACTTATTTAATTATGGACATGTTTATTTATTTACAAAACTGCAAGGAATTATAATGTCTTAATAATAATATTGTTTAAAGATGTTTTACTTATATTTGTATTTAATTGTATTATATTCTATCCATTTAGTTCCATTAGTAGTAATTTCGCTTGATTATTCGCCTATTTTTATTCATTCATCACAGAACTCTTTGGCATAGAAATTTCGATATACGTGTAACTGATCAGTGAGTGGCTCCAAACTTTTCAGAAGGCAACGAAACAAAATTTTCCTAGCGTAGTTAACATTTTTGTACACGAAACATTTTTGTACGTCGTAATCTCGAAATTATGCACCTTTATTTTTGCTTTTAGAGCAATCTTAACAATTGAAAGTATCTACTATACGCAAAATTAATGTTATACATGTGTTGATTTGATATTGGCTTTCTTATATTGTTATTTATGTTGTTTAAAAGTAAAACAGATTTAAGCATTTTCTTTTTCGTTTTTTAAAAGAAACTATGCAAATTTGTATAAAGAAAAGCTGTTTGGCTCAAATATCCAAACCAAAATGGACCATCACATTCTGCTTCCGTGGGAGAAAAATTAGAATTTTTATAAAATACAATTTTCTATAAAATCCTTGAATATGTTGCTGTTACAGTGGCAATATCTGCAGACTTGCTGGTATTGCCACTTGCCAATACCAGCAAGCCTGCTTAAAAGCAAGCGATCTTTTAAAGTAGAGGGTGCGTTTTTTGGTTTTCTATGGTGATATCTACGGCCAACAATACGACTTAAGCTCAACACACGTCAAATCCCGTTTTACTAAGAGTTGTACCGTTACCCCTCTAGCTGTGATCTCTAAATGTAACTTTAGTAACGGTTACCCAGGTTATACAGTAGGCAAGTATCGAATGAATTACAGGAAACTCTTAACATTTAAAACTCATTTTTATTGCCACTCTAAATCTTCAAAAAACATAATTCCATACATTTCCAAATGCTAACATGGGAATAAACACTTCCCTTTATACATTAATTAAAACATGTAACCTTAAAACACTCAAGCATAAACTTCAATTCATACAGTTAAAAAAAGACATTTAAGAAATAAAAACTGCATTTAACATTACTAAAAGCAATAAAGACTTGGTTTATGATATCTATTAATCACACTTAAATACTCATTGTTCTCCTACATAAAAAAAACACAACATAAACAGTTCAGAATTTACGGTAAATGATTCCTCTAAAATGTTAACGAAATCAAATTTAAAATTTTATAAGTACCCAAAAGAATTTACTGTTCGCCCTCTGGAAACGCCCACCGGAATGGTAGATGAGCTCGTGGACAAACTCCTCGGCTAGGATCTCAAATCTCTCTAGCTATTCTAATTTCATTAGGCATAGGCATGTAGAAGGGGAACATCGGACTTCCAGCATAGATACGTTCGGACTTGGCCCACCGTCTCGAAGATATCGGCCTTCGGCTAATCACGGTCGTTCTTCCCGCTANATCGTTCCGGATAATCGGTTCCCTACTGTATATATATATATATATATATATATACACACACACACATATATATATATATGTAAATGGATAGATAGATATAATTTGTAATTCGGTCTAGACAAAATATGAGTAAGAGTATTTTGTGCTATCTAGTTTTATATGGAGTTAATTCTGACTATTTTTTAAACAGTGCGTAAGTATCAATCATTGTGTTATAGAGTACAATTTAGAGTTTTTTTTTATCACATTTTCTAGATTCGTCTGTGTTTGTAAATTTTGTTTCTTTTATGTGCCTCTTTCTCCTTTTTTTAGTAATGCATGCATCATATAATAAATTTTTTGAACAATAATTTACGACTGTTGTGAATATACATGTTAGTTTAAAAGCTTTTACATTATTGTGTTTGTTAAATTTTTGAATTATTGAATTAATTTGTATTACTTATCATTTTACTATTATGTTTTTTTTAGTTAATAACTTAGGAAGCACTGTCAATCTAAAAAAAAGTAAGTAATTTTCAATACATTTAAAATAGTGCACATGATTTGTCCGAAAATTAATAAATCGATTAAAAACGATTTTTCGATTGTATCAAATCATCACGCGATAAGTTTTTAAAATGGTTTTTTGCCTGCATCGATGCATCATTCCCTGCAAAATGCTCAATAAGAAGGCTTTTATTGACATACTTTAAGCCTTTTACGGAATGTTCTTTAGAACCTCGATGCAAGAATCTTAGACCTGTCATTTTATATCCTATTTTATTTTATAATCGTCGTTGAACAGCCGACACAATTTTTTTTCGTTTATGATTACTAATGTTCAACTCCGTAGACTTTTAATTTTCAACCCAATCCGGAAGACATGGGAACTCCTGGATCAAGTATAGAGGTAAATTTGCTTCGTGGAGGACTCTTTGATGGAATTAACCTTCATTTACGTTACATGGAGAGGAAAACCACGAAAACCTCCCACGGTCTCCCGTCTACCACTGAGGATATTTTACATCAGCACTGTGGTCAGTGCAAGACGTATTCGGAATTCACGGTCCATAGTACTAATTCAATCATCGTTAAGACGCATTTACAATGAAGCTCTCAGAAATCCAACTATATGTAAAAGTCTTAAAAAACAAACTTCAAAAATCTAATCCAATTTTAATATTTATTTAGCATATAGGATGTACAGTTGAGACCCTCCTTGCTTTTNTTTCGATTGTATCAAATCATCACGCGATAAGTTTTTAAAATGGTTTTTTGCCTGCATCGATGCATCATTCCCTGCAAAATGCTCAATAAGAAGGCTTTTATTGACATACTTTAAGCCTTTTACGGAATGTTCTTTAGAACCTCGATGCAAGAATCTTAGACCTGTCATTTTATATCCTATTTTATTTTATAATCGTCGTTGAACAGCCGACACAATTTTTTTTCGTTTATGATTACTAATGTTCAACTCCGTAGACTTTTAATTTTCAACCCAATCCGGAAGACATGGGAACTCCTGGATCAAGTATAGAGGTAAATTTGCTTCGTGGAGGACTCTTTGATGGAATTAACCTTCATTAACGTTACATGGAGAGGAAAACCACGAAAACCTCCCACGGTCTCCCGTCTACCACTGAGGATATTTTACATCAGCACTGTGGTCAGTGCAAGACGTATTCGGAATTCACTTAGACCAGCCGACGCTGGGATTTCAGCCCTGTTCACCTCATTGGAAGGCGAACGCTCGTTCCCCTGAACCACCACGGCTCTAGACTCGTCATTTGTCTCAAATGTCTCTTTTTACATCTGAAAGCGATCACATAGCTTTTTAAAGTAGTCCAATCTGACCATGAAAGTAAACCACTTAGAACAATAGAAATTTTATACAAAACTCAGTAAAAACAAGAATGTGGTAGCATATATATGTCTAAAATTCTGTTTAACTAATGAATGTAAATTGGTTTGTCTTAATTCATTTTTAACCTCCACCTATTTATTTACCAAATATATAAACCAATGATGTCTTAAATCAATGATGAGGTGATGTCTTAAATCAATGTTTTTTCGTGGTCGTTTTTAACGTCAGAACTTTGAGGATGCTACAGAACCGTTACCAATTGTTACCTTTTCACCGTTACCTTTAAATCGACCAGGAAGAAAAGAAAGTGGAGCTATAAAGCACGTTCTTATAGTAAAATTTCTTATGGTTCATAATTTCAAAATGGTCATTTTAGAATGCTTGATGCCTTTACCATTATAACAATTAAATCACTGTTTGAGTCCAAAAACTTAGCCAAGCAAGTCACATTTTCGACAGGGGTGATTATCGATGACCTTTAAGCGTGAGTTTCATCGCAAACGCCACAAAATGTCTTGAGTCACCAACAGATTTAGCTTTCTGAATCTGTTCGTAAAAGTTTCGAACTCTGGTGGGTTTCATTTAATTCTTGGTGACAATCCATCGAGAACTGGATGGCAATTTGCTCAGGAGACGGAAACAGGTCTCACGAAAATGACTGTCTTTACTCTTCGTGGTTGGAGACAGTTAAGTGACCACTTATGCGTGAGTTTACTGTCTCCTTCACCGTTTCCAACCAACCAGATCAGGTTGGGATGTGCAGCTGCTTTACAGTAAAATTAGTGATAATACTTATCGGACTAACTCTGTAGATTATTGTTTAGGTGATAATTTAGTTTGTGGAGTAGAGGTAGCTAGAGCAGAATTGTTTTTAAATTTTCTAAATAATTTCATTAAATATCGTACTATATATGTTACTGTGAATGATCGAAATTGGTGGTTGTTGACTTCCAATGAACGTAGACAATCACATAGTCGCTTTGGTAAATGTCCGAAACATATATTATGTCTAATTAAGTGCCACTGTCCGGTATACATTTGTCCGGCATGCTCTATATCAATGTTTTTTCAAGGTTCAGTGCCCCTACCCGTTATACATTTGCCCGGTACTCTGAAAAGTGATATTTCTCTTATTCTATCCTCAGCATATAATAAAATATCGAATGAGTATAATACTATAAATGAATAAATGAATATATATATATATATATATATATATATATATATATATACTATCTACCTGTANTTCGCAGCTATAAAACCATGAACCTTACTCGAAGACAAAGGGTCTTTTTGATGAAGTATTTTAAGTAATTTACCCTCGTTGTAAACTCTTTTTTTACGAAAAGATTAGTTCATGGATAGTCTGACGGCAAGAGAAGCCAGGCTTAGCCCTGTCCCGCCCCGTAGGGGGGCATCCAGGTAATACTGAAGACCTTATGCGCGTACGTGTCCTGCATCAATAGAGAATTGGCACTTTGGCTTGGCAACGACGGAATGGCAACACTTGCGTCGACGGGGAGGATCGCGATTCGGAGCAATGTGTGATGACGGGTACAAGAGCTTTAGAAAAAGAGCAAGATTTTGAATTTTGTTAGTCTGGCTGCTGCACGCGCAGAGCAGCCACCAATCCACAATCTACCGACCCGCCCCGTCCCAGAGGGTCGCAAAATTTATTCATCCAAAAAATTTTATACATAATTTTACAGGTGCAACTGGTTTACACAGCAATGAAATTAGGATTTTAGCAACATATTCACAGTGAAAGCTCACTTTCATACAAAACATTAAAACCCAGTGACATTCATAGCAAATTACACATAACAAACATTTTTTAAAACAGAAACACTACAGGTATTCTAGAATTTTATGTTGGGTGTGCAATTTCGCAGTAAACAGTACAAAATATTTACAGTTTGTCAAATTTACAAAACATTAGAATATTGCGATGAGAAATCGTATAACAAATCCTCCATTTCAAAATTTCAGCAATACGTACCCCGGGGGCCCGCATTCGTTTTGTCGTGGCAAAAACCACATAATAAACATTTAAAAAAAAAACAAAAATACTGCAAGTATTCTAAAATTTTATGTTGAGTGTGCAATTTCATAATAAACAGTACAAAATATTTACAGTTTATCAAATTTACAGAACATTAAAATATTACGATGAGAAATCGTATAACAAATCCTCCATTCCAAAATTTCAGCAATACGTACCCCGGAGGCCCGCATTCGTTTTGTCATGGTAAAAACCACATAATAAACATTTCAAAAAACAGAGATATCTCAAGTATTCCAAAATTTTATATTGAGTATGCAATTTCATAATAAACAGTACAAAATATTTACAGTTTACAAAACATTAAAAATTAGCGATGAGAAATCACAAAATAAATCATCCATTCTAAAAATTTAACTATACGGATCCCGGGGGTCCATAATAGTACTCTCATGGCAAAATCCACATAATAAACATTTCATAAAGTAGAAATATTACTGGCATTCCAAATATTCATGCTGGGTGTGCAATTTCATAGTGAACAGTACAAAGTATTTACAGTTTATTAAATTTACAATGTATTAAAAATATTACGATGAGAAGTCACATAACAAAACCTCTATTCCAAAATTTCAACAATACGTACACCGGGGGCCCGTATTCGTACTGTCATGGCAAAAACCAAATAATAAACATTTCAAAAAAGAAGTATTACAAGTATTCAAATATTTTATGTTGAGTGTGCAATTTCATAATATATAGTACAAAATATTTACAGTTTTTTTTTAAAAATTTTAAATTACATTAAGATGTTACTTTTCCCAATATATATCAACGAGGAGACCCATATATCATGTGAAAATTAAACTTTGCATAGGCTATTAATTCTGTCTGTATAAAGTGGGTGTATTCAGGCTGAAATGCTGCTTTATGATATTAATAATTCCATTCTTTATTTTTTGATTCTTCCAAACGAACCTCAGAGTATTTCTACTAAGATTTGGAGGGAAGTAGTTGGTCCTTGTTTCGGTAAAGATCGGACAGTCCAATAAAATATGTTCTATTGAATCATTTGTTTTGCAGAAGGAGCACTCAGGTGGTTTATTATGAAATCTGTGTTGATATTCTCCTTGCGTACCATGGTCTGTTAGAAATTGGTTAAGATAGAAGTTAGGATATATTTTAGTGTTACTGACTTTTGGGATTAATATGTGTGTGTATCTGCCTTTTGAATTTGGACTGTCCCATCTTGCCTGCCATGTTTGAAGATTTTGTCTCAAGAGGTTAAGTTTAATAGTGCTCTTAGAGGGTAGGTCGGTAAGATCAATTTGTTCCCTGTGGCAGGCGAGTTTGGCCAACCTGTCAGCCTCCTCATTTCCGGTATTGCCAACGTGGGCCCTTATCCAGTGTAGACGAACACTCTGTTTGTAATTAAGTTTAATCATTCTGTCAAGGTAAATTTTATTGTCAAATCTGCTAATTGTTTTGAGGCCGGAAAGTGAGTCAGAGTAAATATTAACGTGTTCTATAATTTTATTTTTGTTGATCCATAGTATCGCCTGGAGAATGGCCCATAGTTCGGCTTTATATACAGTTGATTCATCTGATAGTCTAAATAGATAAGTATCAATTTGTTCAGTGCTATTGTAGACAGTGAAG